AGCTCCAGGGATCTGTTGAAGATGCGAGTAAAGATGGGAGCCAGCTGTTCAGCACAGGTTTTGAGGCAGGAGGGTGAGACACCATCTGGTCCGGGGGCATAACCAACATATGGTTATTGTGGGCCTTAAATAATAAGTCTATGGCACGTTTGTTTGATTCCAAAAGCACATGGAATAATCCAGTTTTATGTTATTAGAATCTTCTCAACTAAATTCACTGCATCACAGGTCTGATCCTTCAGGAAACTCTTGCAGGTTTGAGTACCCTGCAAGAGTTTTTCACTCTCGATTTTACCTCAAAGCTGAATTCTTTTAGTCTTCATTTCTAATGCAATACATAGGTTATTTCTCTTCAGCACCCTCTGGTGGTCATTGTGTGATTACTTTTTTTTTATGTTCCTGTGCGTGGAGGAAACGGGAAGCTGGCTGCATGTTAGCCTGTTCGTTGGCTTAGATGCCTCTTAAAACATTTCTGCCTTGGACATTTATTGCTTAGGAGTATTAATGAAACAACATGTTTACAATTTTATTTAGTGCATTTCTATCACAGAGATTTGTCTAGAAACAAGTTATTTTCTCTGTTATGTTTGTTATGTCTTTGAGGAAGCTAAACTTGCTAAGCCATATTGTGATCACTACTGAGTCCTTGTTGTTACGCATACTATGTAACAGTATAGATACAATGGTTTCATATAATAAGTACTTTCTTCTAAGCCTAATAAACTGCTACAAGAACTGTAATTCATAATTTACAAGTCTTGCAAGTCTTTCACATCGCCATGAAGGAATTTTGGTAATTACCTCACACAACACTATTTGGAAAATTGAGTTCAGTGTCTTTACCCACAAAAAATATTTAACAAATATGTGAAAACAGAAACAAAAAAACCCTAAGGAATTAGGAGGGTGAAAATTCATCTTCACAGCACTTCTGATGTCATCTTCTCATGTCGTAATCATAGTTTGGTTTGTAACTAACCATCAGTGCAGTGCCTGTTTTTAGTCTTTTATGCCTGCCATAGTATCATACAATTTAGAGAAAAATCTTGTTCTTTAAATGGTCTTTTAAATGACCACTATTCTATACTTTTTATTTTTTTATGACAGCTACACTAAAAATTATAAAATACTGCAACCGAGCAGTACAAAGAAGCTGCCATAAACACCCTTTTTCCCTGTTGTCATCTTATTTTCATGTCATATCAGAAAATTTGAAAGTGACAGA